TGTCCAAGTCCCTTGGTCACAGGTTTGCATACTATCGTACCAAGCTTTAGTTTGAAAACCTTTGGCCTTCTTTCGACCGTTAATTAAATCAGAAAACACCGAGTGCCGAAGGAGCCTAGCTGGTGATATGCACAATAAGTACCCCGACCATCCTAACAAATGTTCCATTGTGCGACCTCCAATGCCTTAACTTGTCTACACTCAGTATCGCTTCTCTGAATTCCCCAAGAATCTCGAACAACGCAGCGTAGACAGCAGTGTTCGAATACTGAAGGTCTTTATTATCCTGGTCGTGTAACGGCCACGTCTCTAAAACACACAAAAACAAGCCACAGAATCGTAGCATACAGTTGACCCTCCATGGACAACCGAATGCCTCGTTGGTGCCACAAATGCTTAAAGTTTGCAGATGCCTACCGAGGATCCAGCGTGCATGCCTACATTACATTGGGGACCATCTGCCAAGTGAAACTAACCGACGGTGAGACTCAGAGCTGAACAAACGTAAGGCACTAAAGCACTTAACACTGTGTGCAAAATCCATACTGAGTAATTTCAAATTATCTGAGAGAACTTACAACAATATTGAACCTTCAGTATACAGTCGTGGAAACAGTTCAGATCAGATAACTTGCCACCTGGGAGCACAACAATATTGCCGCTCTCGCAAAAAGACAGTAGCCCTTTCCGAAACCATGTATGCACACACAGTGGAATATAAAAGAAAGGAAGAGGGCAACTAGCGTCCTTTACGCAGACTCAGCCCATTACGCAAAGAGCAAACCCGCGAGGAGCAGGCCGGGTTTCGTGCACGTCGTGATTTCATAGACCAAGTCTTGACCCTTCGTCAGCTACTAGAACACCGCCTTGTTTCGATAAGAAAACAGTGAATTCGTATGGTCAATAGTTAGTGATTCATTTTTTTCCAAAGCGCTTTAACGCCACTGGTAACCGGGTGACAACACAGAAAAAGGTCTGCAGCTCTTTGTTCTCTTTATACAGTGGTAGTTCGATTTGAGCAACGACAAGCACTTTCCTGCCCATGATCACAACTCTGATAGAAATGTCCAAAAACATCGCAGACCAGGAAATACAAACATCGAAATGTGAACCTTAGACTGAACCCCTTGAAAAGCGACACCTAATATAAATAGATAATTCAAGCAGAACGGAGAGGTGGTAACGTTAGCGATGTCCGATTGTTTCTATTATCGTGGTTTCCGACAATGGTATAGCTCCAGCAAAAGCTTCTCACCAGATGCGTCCCGTGTGAGCTCACCAGGAACGTCTTTTATCAAAGTGATCAACAGAATAAAAGCTAATCATTTCAATTCAATCCAAAAGTTGAATTTATTCATCTCAAAATATGACATTTTCGAATAAGCAGTCATCACAAAGCTCGATTCATATAACATTCTCCGGCAACATCCGGGAATTCCCTACTTTAAAACGACGGCAAAGAAAAACAGAAATGAATCGCGATTTTGTGAAAACTAGCACACAGGATCGAACTGAAAACACGACATTGAAATCTGTCTTCCAAAAATGACCCGATTGGGAGGAAGGCTCTGTATAAATAAAAGGCAGAACAGGCCCAAGAACACTGATTGGGACGAGGAGAAGGCAAAATAATTGTCGTGATCCCCAATGACAATCAGAGATGCGTACAAGTGTTCAGATATATAATGGTCTGCAGTGCCGACCATGGGGTTGGAGGGGAGGGAGCAAACGAAATGATTGAAAAAGAACAAAACGGACCAGAAAGACAAACAAAATAAGGAGCACGTGAAAAAAANGAGAGGGGGGGGGGTAACACGATGGAGCAAACTACTGCTCGTTAGGCTGTGTGTGTGTGGTAGCATCAAATATGATTGACCGCGTGTTTCCCTATGACCAATACGGAATCACCACCAAGCGTTATTTTAGTGAGAGAGAAGCTTCAGTTTTCTCGAATCACAGTTTAAGGTTTTCCAATGGTTCAAGTTCCAGTGAAGGACTGACTCATTTACACAGACCGAGAAGAACTGGTTGGTATGTATAAACAGAAAGTGAGTGAAGAAAGCAAAGGACGGTGACAAATAAAAATTACACATGTCAAAAATCATTTGGTCCGGGAGCTTATCGCCCGTGTGATGGTGTGAACGGGCGGAACAGTCACTTCATAGCACATGATGAGAATGCGGCAGGTTAATAAATGGAATGAGTATCTGCACCGCTGTTAGCCAAACGACGCTCCAACGACTGGGATCGTGTCAAGTGGTCGTCTGATTTACGTCGTCGGGTCACAGATCGACGAAACAGGCGTTGAAGCCGAGAACCGAAACGGGGGCGCTTGCTAGACGGGTGACTTTTGTTTTCTGTGCTCACAGTCAGCGAAGGTTCGATGAAACCTGTTGTGGCAGAAGGCGAATAGGTGAGTAGTTGAACGGAAGAGAGGGGTAAAGAGAGCAAAATACCACAGCAATATCCATCATCGACCTGGTCTTATTCGAAAGTTAAAACCAAATCAAGATGCCTTAAATCCAAGTCACTGAGAGAGGTGACGTCAACTAAAGATGGCGGTGGTTTATCACTAGGTCCAGCAGTTCGACTTTCGAAGGTCTTGTTACGAAGTTCCATCACACTTGGTAAAACTTCTACTGCATAATGAATGCAATCAGTCGCAATTTATTTTACTTTCTCGATTAGACATAAGGTATTATGCACCATCGTAATCCACATATGGACAACAGGAACTGTGACAATTGATTAGAACTGTGAAGATGAGACCAATGTGTAGACAGCATTGGGACACATCAAACAACTCGATTCGCATCCAGCAATCTGTTCAAAAGGCACATCACCATTGCAACTTCCGAACAAAACATGAGAGGACGGAGTACAGTGCTGTGAGATGTCAACAAAACGGTCGTCGACGTAGTAAATTCGGTTCGCCTGTTTTTATAGTTCTGTTAGACGGGTTAAATGGAGCCTAAGAATCGCCCACGGAGTGGGAGTGACTAGCCAGTAAGCGGTGAGCTTAACTGTTCTAACTCAATTCGGAAGAAGGGATGAACGGTAGAATCGACTTCTATTAAGGAAATCAACTTCTCTTAACTGGGCGGAACGGATTATCTTCTCAACAATCGCCTGGTAAAAATAACAGAGGATTGATAATTAAGGTTGCAAATAAGGTGACAACTCGAAAGTGAAGTGCAAGGATCGACAGCGAGTCGTAGTTTTGCACTTTTATGTCGGTTAGAATCCACGATTTGGAAGATCAAAAAGAAATGACAATAACATTGTTACTTTCGCCCAAAATCGATACGTACCAGAAACTATTCCTAGAGTGTATAGTAGTCAATATGATTTCGACTGCCTCAACCAGCAAATCGATGACCTGGACGTTGATCTTATAGGCTTCTTTATTTGATTTCAGCATTGATGTGTTCACAATAATCAAAAAGTTCGGTCAATGAGCGTATCCGAAACACTGGTAGGCACCATTATTAGGCTTAATATGTACGTTTTTCAGTACCAAACGTACAGTTGCGATACAATGCGATAAACTCGAAATCTTATGAATTATTGTTGACTGATTACTTAAAAAAACAGTTTTTTTTGAAGTTTACCCCTTGATGACCACAAACTAAATGAACGTAGAATGTAAATCAGAATAGATGTCTGTAGCGCGGTTTGTTTAGTGAAACCCCGTTCCCCATGACACAAAATCTTAAAAAAGCGTACGGTGAAACTACGAAAAAAATCATTCATTCATTTGTTTTTTCTCCATGTTCTCTGTTGTTTCATCTTCATTTTATCTTTCTGTACCCATCCATAACTTCATTATCATTGTTTTGCATTGTCACCATGCTTGTTCTCAAGCCAGTGTGAAATATATATGGAATGTAGATCCCGATCCTAAATAAACATGCAAACGGATCATGATCCCAAGAGATTCCGATGGAACTCCTTGGTGCGTGGGATAAAGAGGAGAAAACAGAGTACGTGTGAGCCTATACCCAGACCACTAATCGGACGTGACAAATACAAATCAAACTACTGAAAAGAGTCGTACGATATTCTTCGGAAAAATCAGATCAGTAATGAAAAGCTCACCTTCAACAAAATTCGAAATCCCGTTCGTCTGAAAAACGTGAATAAGGGTAAGCCATGGAAGAAGGAAAGAGAACTTATCCCGTTCATAGTACTAAAGAACAAAAATTCACACGATCTGATTCATTCGTACTGAGCATTGCGTAAAATCAGATTTATAGGTGGGAAGTGCAACACATGCGCAGTGAATCAAACAAATGGCACTAACAACCGAATACCCGAAAGGGGCTAACAAGAGGGACCAGATCTGTAAGGTGGTATGAACCACTAAATCACAGAGCTTGAAGTTGAACTAAACTTGATTACGGTCGCTTCTAGATCCCATTATGATACCGATATAATCCTGTGCTTTAGACGTCACGCAGTCAGAATAAAACTTCGATGGTCCATCAAATTTCGGTGTACTGCTTTCAACTTTCAGGAAGTGGCAAGATCTGCAGTTGAGCAAATGCTTGCTGCCTAGAGATAAATAGGAAGGGTGAAGTCAAGCAACGGAGTACAGATTTGAACTCCCGACTTCTTGGACGATGTGACGGTTATATTAATCACTTAAGTACCATCACTGATAGCATTGTACCCTACAGATCCTTCTAAGGCCTGAATGACATGACAGTGAAACATTACCAAATAGTGCAGCGATTCCCCTTTAAAATATTTCCACCATAAAATGTTTGACGATGAAACAGTGAATTAATTCGAACTAATTAAAACGAACGAATGACATCGAATGCCAAAAGCTTCGTGGCGCGCCACTTGAGGTGTTTGGAATTCAAAAAACGATTGTATAACAAGAAACAGAATAGGAGGCATGTAAATGGGAAGCCATCCGAACTTGATTGTGGTTGCTCAAACTATTCTAAGTCGAATGAGCCAATTAATCAAAAACAAATAAATGATTAGCATCTCAAAACAACTGGTATGCTTCTCAAATTGTCTCACCACAGGTTCCGAGTGGATTTGCTCCCGGGATGAAAATGTTCCACGTGATGAGGTGGTGTTCGAACGAAATCGAAAGAATCTCCGCTGTTTCTTCGGCGGTGTCGGCGTCAATCCGGTTGTTATTGATGTCGGACGATTAGCGGAAGCCAGACTACCCATGGGAGGTGACGGTGGTGGATCGGGCCAATCTGCGTAAACAGACCGTGTTGCACGAACATTGGCTGAGTTACGGGGATTAATAATGGGGCCGTGGATGGCCGTTGCAGATGCGGGGGGTTCATGAAGTCGTGGCTCGTGCTCAGGTTCAGAACGAATCCAGTCGTGACGTTTAAGTCCGATAGGTGATGGGGATCCGTCTTTGTCTGACAGAGAACAAAAGCGTGCATTAATAACTTCGAAACACTACTGCATCTCGTGATGTAAAACGTTAGAGTTTTATTCGAATAGCACCACAGTTGATACTGTTTCTGATCCTGGGGGGGGGGGACCACAGAAAAGAGCAAACTAACGTTAACTAGCACAATTAGGGGCAAATTACGCATAAAACTCGTTCTACTCAAGAGCAAAGTGGATGGCATTCCTTGTAATACTGTCGAGCACCTACCTGACAAAATACCTGCAGAAGGCTTATTTACACCAACACCGACAAAGTAAATTGAAGACCTCGCTGATTTATGTGTACGGAATAATGCTTGGAAATCCAAAAGGTAAACTCCGTATCGTGTAAAATTTACCGGGAGACCAGATTTTAAAACGTTTTGTTTCAGAGGATACAAACTAGGTGACAGTACCTCCCAATAACAGCGTGACTGTTGAAGAAATCATACCATTTTACTTTTAGGCGGGAGTGTAATTGTGCTGCGTGGATTTAAGGTAGAGGAATACCTTGGCAGCACAGTACAAGTAATGACCTCAATACTAATGGCAGTAGTTTTCGAGTATCCGACCTTAGCCACTAAATCAGTTCAGTTTTTACAACCATTAACTATGCACTTTCATGTGCTAGTTTGGTTGCTGTCTTCTAGCCGCCCATCTCGATAAAAGAGCAGGAAGGAGGTTGGAATGTTGAAAGCAGATTCAAGTGGGAGATAGTGCATTTACATAGACTTAAGTTACAAGAAAAATG